ACCTGACAATATCTTTATTCATTTATCATAATAAAAAGGTATCTACTTCACCAACAATCCAATTAATTAAGAAAGGAAAACTACTCACTGTTTACGTGAAGCGAAGAGGTATTTCACAGACTGCTGCTCCTGAAATAGAAAAGTTCTCTACTACACTTCGCACTTTACATTAACATTTATATTATTACGTAACATATGCAGTATTCTTACGCTTGAAAATGAAATTCTCTCTCCAATTACTTCACATTTTGCCTTATTCCGATTTAGCAATGACAATTGTCTCTCCAGTTTTGCCTTTATTTCATTTTGTTTCAACAATTTTTCATGGAGGTCCCATACTTGTTTCCTCAAATTAATAGTGTCCTCATGACACATTGTAAACTGCAACAAATTTAAGATTAGATTAAATTTGCGATACGAGACGATTTCAGAATATATCCAAGAATACACTTACTTTTTTCTTATAGAATTCTAAGGAATTTTCTAAATCCAGAACGGTAGTTTTGTGTTGAGTTATGATCTTTTCTTTTTCTTCTTTCAATGCTGCGTGCTAAAATTGATACCCAATACACAGTTTGGTATTCAAGAAGTAATAAGTATAAAATACTCATACAAACCGTACTTACGAACTGTTCTTTCAAATTTGACCATTTTTCCTCATAAAGAACTTTCATGTTTGTACATTCTGTAGCCTTTTCTATATATCTGAGTTTCAAATTGGTATATTTTTGTAACACCTCGGCAACTTTGACTTGCTCATCAGAAATTTTAGTTTGGAGAGAGACATTTTCATCTAAATGCATATTCATGAGATTATCAATTACTTTCTTCTTCTCAATCAAATCTTCTTCCAGAGAGAGTATTTTACTATTCAATTCTGTTACTAGCTCTTCAGTTTTTATTAACTTTTGTTCCAGCAAGAAATTATTTCTCCTCAAGATATCATTTTCATATGCCATGGCTTCTAAAGGGGATATAATGTCAGCGAGACTCCGAATAGTAGTTACTTTGAGCTCTTTAAATTCTGTTTTAAGTGCTTCAGCTTTTTCAAAAAGATCAATAATATTTTTATCCCTTTTTTGCAAATCCCTTGAAAAAGAATTAACATACTCAACTTGTTTTTTAATTTCGTTATCTTTCTCACACAATAATTCATCTTTGCCAGCTATAATATCTTTAAGTTCTTCATTTTCTGCAAGTGTCTTTTGAAGCATTTCATTACTTGAGCATTCAGAAACTAAATTCAATTCATCCTGCAATAAATTTACTTTCTTTGACATTTCCAAATTTTCTCCATCCATCCTTTGAACAACATTAGTAAGTTGTTCTACTTCTTTTTCCCTCAAAAGAATCTCTTCAGTTTTTAAAATAATTTCCTTTGACGATTGAGTCATTTTTGTCTTTATGTCATTAAGTATCAAATCTTTTTCTTCAATTTCTTTTAGCAAAGAGTCACGTTCTAAACATAGTAAATTGAATTCTTTGAATAAAGCATCGTTCTTATTTTCAGTTTCTTCAGGCAATGTATTTACTGTTGTGGAGCCGCAAATTAGAGCTGAAACACAAGAAAAATATATTTATTCAAAATAATTGTTATATAAAAAATATACACCATGAACAAAACTAAGAACATATCTGTTTCCGTTCATAGTAAATTAGAAAATAATATCCAAGACCATAAAACTGTTTTAAACATTAATTTCAATTGAAGGTAGAACTCATTATTGGCCATTTCCTAATTGGTCAAATATGTAAAAATATATTTTAGGCATGAAAACCGAAAGTGACGAGATACCTTCCTCCTGTATTAATTGGATTTGGCCACTTGGTATATAGGGACAGACAGTCTATAAAAACAAACAAAAATGTAATATCTATACTAAAAATTTAAGAATCATTTGATTGATGATTAATAAACGTTTTGTAAAGATAGATATATATATATATATATATATATATATATATATATATATATATATATATATATATATATATATATATATAATATATAAATATAAATAAATAAATATGTATGTATGTATGTATGTATGTATGATGTCTGCCAAAACAGTTTTGCGTCATCGCTTAAAACCATGTATACATTTGAAGAAATGGTATAATAATAAGTATTTTTTTTAGAACGACCTTGAATAATAAGTTTTCGGTGCATGAATTGCATGAAATGCAATTTTTAGTTTTTATTCCGAATATCATTGATTAATATATACATTTTTGCTATTTGTAGGATGTTAATCGAAATTAATAACAATAATTAACGATATATGGCTCAAAGAAACTTTTTATCACTTGCCAACAGGAATTATTTGCGTAGTTCCAGTTAACTAAAACAAGACAATTTTCTTTAGTAAAATAATAAAAAGGTACTTAATTTTTAGTTCTTTGGAATTATACGAAAATAGCAAAAATAACAATTTTTGCAAAGAAAACCAATTGCAGGCATTTTCAGAATCAAATATTTTAAAATTGTTTCCCATTTGTTTTTTCGACGTTACTTTTTGTTCGAAAACATGACAAATTTTTGTGGGCGGACTTTTCTTTTAATTCCAATGAACGGCGAAAGTATAATTAGTAGTATTAAAAAAATATTTTACTACAATTAACTTAATTGTTAATTTTAGTATTCGGTTGGTAGCATTTTAATTTTTTCTGAATCGAAGTGGATAGCGTGCTCGCGAGCCCAAATTTGACCACTAGCAAAATGAGAGAAGTGGCCACTTCTAGGACAGAATTCGAAATATTATTCGGAGCACCCCCTTGCTTCAATAAACTTAGAACAATGGACTTTTTTCATTTCCCTTGTTTCATATTTAAATAATTAGCTGAAAACTCCTTTTTAAAATTGGTATTGCAAGAATACAGCACGTATCGGTATATTTTTAGTTTATTCTCGGTTTAAAAACATTCAGAAAACAAAATATCAATTGGCCATTACGAATCGAGTACAAGACCACTGCCAAAAGGTATCCAGGTATCTCCCCAAGCGAGAGACCGCCCCAGCCAGAACGAGCTCAACGCTCTCTACTTGTCTCCTGACATATGAGCTAGTGTAGAGTTTAGGAGAGGTAGAGTGGGTAGAGCGGGTAGAGCGGGTAGAGCGGGTAGGGAAAGGTAGTAAAATATAACTATATCTTTGAAAGTTACGACTGTCATGAATATTTCAATATTTGGCCAGTCATCAATATTTCAATTCAATACTGGGGAAAGGAACCCAGCATATTTAAAAAAATATCACTTAACTCAATAGTCAGGAGAAAGTTATGGAGATCATTAGAAAACTTAAGTTGTTTCATTTGGTTACGGTTAGATGAATTTATTAAATGTGAAAGTAAATTATTTGGTTCCACAATTCAAGCAGTTTTCACGTTATGGCTGGGATTTGAAGCTCTTTCGAAACGATTGTACTTTATTTTAAACATTGCTTCGCATGGAAATTTGTTGGTCATTCATGATGTTTCGTACCTTCAACTTTCTCTCTCTTTAAATAAAGGTTTAAAGTCACTTACGTGGGCAGAAATCTTCAAATACGTCAGTGTAATCCCACTCAAGACTGCAATCTTTATCAATATTGTTATCTGCAATTGTAAACGCTGCTGATGTGCGTGATTCTTGTTCCATTATGTTATGTTCTTTAACTTCCGTAGACATTTTTGGTAGCATCTGCATACTAGTTTCTTGAAAGATTTTGCTTTCCGTTTTGCGAGTTGAAAGCTGAGGTTTTAGAGATTTGACCTAATAAAAAAAAAGAAAACAATTTTACAAATGAATCACATTTTGAGAAAAGTAAACAACAGAAATAATGACTTTGCTACTGGAATCGAAATTATGAAAGCACGATCACAAATTTAACTTTATATTTCAATTTGGTATTGACAATATCTTTGAATCAAAAGATTCCAACTTGATCAGGTTCTTAGTGTAATTAGTAAATGCACACAGAGTAAATGAAAAGGATCTCAAGTCTTGCTTTTAGTCGATAAATATAAAACCACTATCTGCGCACGTTTTCTTGAGCTCTTTTTACTATATCGGGAGAAAATAGTGTGCGTGCGCCTGTGCGTGCGCCTGTGCGTGCGCCTGAGCTAAGGAGAGGACGTAGGAGGGAGGTCCTCGCAAGAATTTTGTGGCGAAGGTTCTTGGCGTGCTCGTGCCAATAGAGGCCACGATGTAGAGTCACACCAAGGTACCTCGCGCATGGGGACCAAGGATGCGCGCCCGCAAGCAACACCGTTTCATCGGGGTCTGCCCTCTGACGGGTGAAGTTAACGGCCACACATTTTTCAAGATTTAGGGTCAGTCGTTTCTGGCGTAGCCAGGTGGGAAAGGCGGCGAGGAATTCATTCAGGTATCTCACTGCTTGCCTGCTGTTCGCCGATTTCGCGTAAAACGCAAAGTCGTCCGCGAACATTAGGAGCCCGCAACGCTGAATTCCCGTTCTCCTTTCTGCTAGCAGAGGCGCATCATTGACGTACAAGC